AATTTAATTTCACTATTTTTAAAAGTTTTACTTAGATTTTTAATTCTTAAAAAATGTTCAATATTGTTCTTCCATCCGAATTGATACTAACAACGTTAATGAAATTAGAAAACAAGATAATGTTAAATGTTTTTAAAAAAATTAGGAAATTAAATTGAACATTTTAAAATAGTGAGACCAAATTAAATACTTAAAAAAATATAGCATAACTAAATTGAATAAAAAAATTTAACATTTTTTTGTTTAGATAAATTTGAATCTTCTTTTACTTAACAAGTTTATGAATGACAACAAATTGAGTATTTGAGATAAAAAAAATATCACAAAATGAAATAGTTATCTAAAAAAATTTCTTAAGTAAGAAAAAGAAATTTGAAGTTTATTTTGACAAAAAAAATGCTCTGGTTAATTTTTTTGTTTAATTTAATATTTTCATTTATGAAATATTTAATTTGATCCCATTATTTTTAAATGATTCAACTTATTCATCTCATTTTTAAAAGATGTTTAATATTATCTTTTTGTCCGATTTCAATAATATTATTAGTGTAAATTTAGACAGAAAAATAATATTAAACACTTTTAAAAAATCAAAGAACTAAATTAAACATTTAAGAATAATAAAACTAAATTAAATCTTAAAAATAAATAAAAATTAAAAATATAATTTATCCTAATTTTTTCACTCCATATCCATAGTAAATTATCAGTAAATCGATCTCCCAAACAAATCGCACTGTCATTTGCTACCTGTTGGTGTCCCCCTTGTTTCTGAACTTGAAATTCTGAGGTATTTAATGTGCACTATCTGACTCTATTAATGCGTATTTAATGTGGGCTACATCAAGATTACGCGTGTTAGCTTTTCAAATTTTTTTTTATACCAATTTTATTTTATTTATTCTTTCCATTCTGTATATAATAAATATTGCATTAATTTTTTTAAAATAAGTATTATATTATCTTTTCAATATAGTATCAATTAATTTATTTTCATTTATACCTTTAATAATCTTAACTTCTGTCCTTTAAATACTTAAATTTTCCATATTTTTAATAGTTGTTAACATTTTCCTATGTATATAATAATAATAATAATCAAATATATCATGAATATAATTAATTATACTAATATTTATAATAAAATAATAATATTTAATTAAATATTCTTATTTGTAAATAATTAATTATATTACTCAGTCGTTATTATAATTATACCTATTTAATATTCTATATTAACAAATAATTCAAAACATAAAAATACTCTAAAAGGGACAAATTAAATAAGACGAGGTTTATAAATTATGTTATTAATAATATTTTTATATTTGTTTTTCATCATATTAGTTGTACAAAATAATTTTTAATTTATATTTTTCATTGAAAATTACAGTCCTCTGTGGATCGCTAATTGACTCAAGTATTTACAGTTTTATTATTTGGTCTTTAACCCAATCTTTTGTGTTAATGCTGCAGCATTATACAATGATAATTTTCTGGATATATGTCCTTTATGTTGTTTAAATTTTTTTGGAAATATATATATTATTCTTCCTTTTGATGGAGTTTGGCTGTATGACAACTTCTTCTGTTAGTTTGTAATTTTCAAAGTCCTTCTATGTACTGTTGTAGATCTATATCTTCTTAGGATGGTGATCTTTGAATTTGTATTCATAATACATTGTTGAGCAGGTAAAGCAATAAATAAATTAGAAAAATTAGTTGCCATTTAAACTTTACCCGTCTAATTACCAAATAAACGTACGGATGAAAAAGTAATAAACTTTTCTCACATTTCTTTATTTATATTTATAAGCACGTTATTCTATTCGTAGAATTTACGATAACAGTAGCGAACCTGAGATCCACATACTATTTGTGGGTCTCATTTATTTAACACAAGCACATTTTTAATGATTACATTCGAACAATCCGATAAACTTATAATTTGAATCGGATTAATTAAATTCATTTTTTTTATATATTTTAAATCAAACTAATCAAATTTGATATTAATTGATTCGAATAATAGATTATACATTTACGATCTAAACCAATTCAAATTAAATTAATTAATTTATATATTATTATTTATTTAGTTAACAAAATATATATATAT